TTTGTTTGTTTATTTGTCTGTTTGTTTGGTAGATAAGCTTTTAAGGGAAGATGTCTTTGGTTATAATGAATTTGTGGATTTGTGAAAGGAACATGGTTGAAACGACAGCAACTAAACTAACGCCATAAAAAAAGCAAAAAAACCCAAAAAAAAACAAAAAAAACACAAGCCCATTCACCATTCAGTCTGTCTCTCTGCTAATTCACTCATCACAAAGCTTAAACATTGCTTAAGCCTCTTCCTCTCCCTTCTTTATTTACTGTTTCCTTTGTCCATTTATTTATCTTTTTTACTCCAACACTGAAGGGACACCGTATAAAGGCAAAGGGATTGTGGACCTTGTGCATCATTGTACCCGATAGTTGGATGACTCATCACCTTTTCCAACATCGTAAGAAGGTTATGCAATTTGATATTCATAAAGAATAAATGCATTTTATTATTAGAAATGCTCATCGTCACTGCTATCTGAGTCATAGGGGGAAAACAAGGTGTAGAGATATGAGAATGTCTTGATTTTTATATATATATATATTTTTTCTAACGACACGATAATAATTGGACTATTTTTGTCTGATCTGCATATGGATAGGATCTCTCTCTCTCTCTCTCTCTCTCTCTCTCTCTCTCTCTCTCTCTCTCTCTCTCTATATATATATATATATATATATATATATATATATATATATATGTACATACATATATATACATACATATATATGTATATATATATATATATATATATATATATATATATATATATATATATATATATATATATACATATACATGTACATACATACATCTCTCTCTCTGGTTAGTGATGTAATGGTTCTGCTAGAAAAAGCAATGACAATAACTATGACATTATTAATGATATGAATGATAAAGATAATTCTGAAAACCTTAGCAATTATGACAGCATGGATACAGTATCAATTACAATAATAAAGATAATTACATGATTTAAAAAAATAAATGATAGTACTAAACAAGTATAACAATGACACTGATATTAATTAATGAAGCTTTAATGGCAACTCAATGAAGAAACGATGTAGTTAATAATTCATACGAACTACTTATGATAGTGATGATCAATGATTGTTAATAACAATAGCGATAATGGTGATGATGATGGTGATGGTGATGATAGTGATGTTGTTGATAATGAGAGTAACAATAATAGTAATGACGATATTGATAGTAATGATACTAATGGTGATAATGATAAGTATAGTAGTATTGACAATTATGATAATGATAATCATAATGATAATGAGAGTAATGATAACAACGATTATGATGATGAATATGATAACGATAATAATAATAATTATTATTAATTGATAATAATGATGATAATAATGATAATAATGACAACAACAACAACAACAACAAAATAATAGTAATAATAATAATAATAATAATAATAATAACTAGAAAAGCACTCAGAGAGTGCAGACCTCCGCCAAGGTGGCACACGTTTACCGTAGATTTGTGTACCGAACTTGTTTATTGATTAAATAATGATAATAATAATAATAACCAGACGGTAATTCAGAATGTCACCAAAATTTAATCAGTTCTAAGTTAGTCCCTTTCTGACTTGTCCCCCAAAAATCGATGAAATCCGGCCAGCACTTTTTGAGCTAGGCTGCTAACAAACAAACCAACGCCGTCAAAAACATAACCTCCTTGGCGGAGGTAATAATGATAATAATGATGATGATAACAATGATAATGATGGTAACGATAATGATAATAATAATGATAATAATTATCCAGTCTCCTAATTATCCAGTCACCCAGCCAACCAGTTACCCAATAAGCCGGTGTCCCACTCCACCAGTCACCCAGTCGCTACGTCAAACAGTTACTTAAACACCAGTCACGCAGTCAACCAACCAGTCACCCCGTTATTTAGTCAGTCAACCATTTTGCTAGTCAACCAGTCACCCATCACACCAATCACCTAATCAACTAGTCACCCAGGCAACCAATCATCCAATCAACCAGTCAGTCATTCTAACAGTCACCCAATTAGCCAACCAGTTACCAAGTCACTCGTCCAACCAGTCACCCAATCAACTAGTCATCCACGCCGCCAGTCACACAATCAACCAGTCACCCAGTCAACCAGTCACCCAGGACGCCAGTCACCCAGTCACCCAGGACACCAGTCACCCAATCAACCGGTTATCCACACCGCCAGTCACCCAATCAACCAGTCACCCAGGACACCAGTCACCCAATCAACCGGTCAGCCGGTCATCCACACCGCCAGTCATCCAATCAACCAGTCACCCAGGACACCAGTTACCCAATCAACCAATCAACCGGTCAACCAGGACACCAGTCACCCCATCAACCAGTCATCCACGACACCAGTCACCCAATCAACCAGTCACCCAATCAACCAGTCATCCACGACACCAGTCACCCAATCAACCAGTCATCCGTGACAACTTGCATGACACAAGGCACCTTCCTTGGCTAG